TCAGGATATTTCGTTCCATTGAGCATTGTGCGACCTGCAGTTTCCTTATAATGTCCGTTTTAACTGTCTAGGTTTCGCATGCATAGGTGATAGGTCATGATTGGTAGAACACATTGGTCGAATATTTTCTTTTTTAGATAAAGTGGCATTCTAGATTTGGATATGATTGATGGTAGTAGAGATACCTTTATTAGTTGTCCCAAATATACACATACCAGAAAAGTCTAGGGATATTACAATTTTATCCAGCCATCGTCAGTAATTTTATTATTTGCATTTCTGATATAATAAAATTAGAATAAACAAATAGTTTACAGGACGTATTGGAAATAAAAATGCGAAATTTACCGAATTTTTCAAATTTACCTTGATTTTTAGTGAACTCAAAAAAATACCTACTTGCACCCTACAGGGTGTTATTTGTTCGGGCATATAAAATTAGAGCGATTTTCGTTTCATAGCCATCGCTGACGCCGTTTTTTTTTCGATCATATTGTATATTATTTTATGAAGACGTTCATTACATTATAAAAATAAACATGACCTTAACATTACACGATTAAGGTGCCAACATAAACCTAATTTCATATAATGACTCTATTAGTAAATTAGAAGTATTTCTGTATATCTTTTTTTAATTATTAAGTTACATCCATGACAAAACTATGAGTTCAAAGCGGTACTTAGTGTCATTGATCGACTTTGTTGCTTTTCTTAATTTTTTAGGCATTTTACCATCGTATGACTTTAAAAATATAGCCCTAGTCAAACAGAAGTCTTACAAGTACAAAGTTTTGGTTTTAACCGTATTTATACTAACATGCTGTATTCTAACAGTCACAGAAAAATTTAAATCTCTTAACCTTAAAGATCAAAAATACTTCAAAGCAGTTGATGGTACTGCTACAATTATAGGTCACTTGATAGTATTAAATGCTATTTTATTCGGTTACTTCAAACAGTCCGAATATGGAAGATTATTTGAAAAATATATTTATGTGGAAAATGATATTAACGTTTTGTTAGAAAGACACATGGAATGGAGGCATTCAAGATTATGCTCGGCGTTAATCAGAATTACACTCCTAATTTTAATAGTACTTATCATCGAATATGTATTGTGGATAGACTCAATGAAATTAATGTTTGGAGATGGTGTTTATAAATTTTCTTTTCTTTGGTGGGCCCATGAAATTTTTGCTTTTTATTACGTATTAATGATTTCTTTATTTATCACAAACTTTCTATTGCTGATAAAAGAAAAGTATTCCTGCATTATTGTTATACTGAAGAAATCTTTCCTGGAAAATAACCATGAAATTTCGTCAAATGTACTGAAAAAGATGGATAAGATATTCTATGATCTTAATAATGTTTGTGCTTTATTTATATCGATCAATTCGTTTCAAATGTTACTGAATATTTGTTCAACATTCTTTACCACTTTGTTATGGTTTATTTATGTTTATAATAATCCGACTCTAGGGTCTGAAAATCTTCTTGTTGTTGCATTATATGCGGTAAGCTATAATAATAATAATAAGTATAAAATGTAATCTTAAAAATACATTAATAAAATTGTTCGATCGAATCAGGCCTTTTTAGCATGATTTGCTTCGTTTAATACTCTTCTTAAGCTGTGTCCACATTGCTCGCGAAAGCAGGCCGAACGAACACGTGAAACACGAAAAACATGGCAAACAGTCGGAGCGAGATGTTCGCCGCGCTATGTTAATCTGATTGAGAGAACTTTATTTATATTTTGTCATGCGCCTGGTATTATTTTTGAAATGCTTTGTTTGGAAACTTTGAAGAAATAAGCCAAACTGGTGTGTGAGTCTCTAGTTGCAAAGAATCTTAATGCAATGGCCAATCTTTATTTAACTCTTTCTTTAAGCGGAATACACTTCCTAAAAGTTGTATTTTTCCTTTCTATACGGGGGCCAACTAAGTTAATAAGTCTTTCAAAATCAATAACGGACATGACAAATCAAAAAGGACTCGTGTGAAGTTGGCACCCTTTTTTCAAAAAATGAACTGGAATTTGAGAGTTCTGGATGGATTTACAATAGTTCTATAGTTCTTGATAAGTTAGAAAAATAGTTCTGGTTAATTTCGGGAGATATGACAGGGGGGTGCCAACTTCACGTAGCACCCTTTTTTTATTCTGGAACAATTCTGATAGTGGAAATATATTCTAGAACAAGAGTTCTATAGTTCCTGAAATTTTTAATTTTGGGTATTTTTAAAAATCAAATAGTACATCTTAAGAACTTTTGGGGTGCTATTCAGAACTCTAACCAGAACTGTTTTTCAACATTGCATTTCCTTCGTAAAGTCGATTTTTATGTCTATCTATAGAGTCGTGCATCAATGAAATTTTTAATTATTGGTATTTTTTAAAAATCAAATAGTACATCTTATAGAACTTTTGGGGTGCTATTCAGAACTCTATTCAGAACTATTTTTTAAATCATTTTTTACCTAGAAAATCGATTTAAACTGCGCAGGCTGCCGTTTTATTTTTGTTCATAACTTGGTTAATACAATAGAACTATTTTGATCAATAGTCAGGAACTATAGAACTCTTGTTCTAGAATATATTTCCACTATCAGAACTGTTCCAGAATAAAAAAGGGTGCTACGTGAAGTTGGCACCCCCCTGTCATTTCTCCCGAAATTAACCAGAACTATTTTTCTAACTTATCAAGAACTATAGAACTATTGTAAATCTATCCAGAACTCTCAAATTCCAGTTCATTTTTTGAAAAAAGGGTGCCAACTTCACACGAGTTCAAAAACGTTCTGTTTGTTTGTAAATCGCCTAGATGTTTTGTAAATCGCGTAGATGTTTACTTCCACTATTCTGGGATCTACTTTTGACTAAAAAAAGCAACTGTTAAAGTAGTGATTCTATAAATTTTATCGCCACATTCGGCCACGTTTGTTAAAAATTTAAAATAAAAGATAAACAGTGGTGAAAAAAAAATGAAAACTACATTCTTCATTTTTGTGGATGCCAACGAATTCATTTAATGTAATTTACTTTTTTTGCCACTTAAAATTATATAAATATCATTATATTGTATAAGATTTAAATGTTATAAATTATAATAATTTGAACCAAAGTAACTAAACTGAGCATCAACTGAAGAGTAAAGTGCAAATTTTTCCATTAAGTTTAACATCTTGTATTTTTTAAACTTTTGAAGTAATTTTGAATTTGCCAGCCAGATTCTAAAACATTGTTTTATCGACTATCGAACCGTTCTTTGTAGTTTTTTTTCAGTTATTGGTCAGGACCCATAATACAGGGTAAAACAAAAATGCGCGCATTTTTAACAAAATTTTAAGTGAGCCTCATTTTGTGGAGGGATGGAGGATATTCATTTTTTGTGGGTAGTTTGAAGGAGGTGACTTATACCTCGGGACGTTTATGAGTTTTTTGGCTATCGCTCTCCATTGCGATGTTTTCGATATTTTTATGATTGTCGGTAGAGTTTTAATACTAATAATTTTATCTCATTGTGAAATGAAGATATCGTATTTTTAAGCATTGTGCATTTTAATTTATAATTAAATAAAGCGAACAAATAATTTTATAAAACTAAAAAGTGTTACAGTATACAGGGCGTTAAAAATATATCTAGCTGGTATATTTAAATTACATGAATAGGTTTTATTATGTATCTTGGCATAACAAAAGAAGCATTTAACACTTTTTCATTAACGATACAGTATAATCACTTAGTATAATTATTAGTTAATACGCATAATACTCAAAAATACAATATATTAATTTCATAATGAGATAAATTTATTAGAATTAAAACCTTCGAAAATCATAAAAAAGGAAAACATCGCAATGGAGAGCGATACCCCAAAAAAACTCAAAAATGTCCCGAGGTATAAAACAGCTCTTTTAAAATACCCACAAATAATGGAAATCCTCCATCCCCCCACAAAATGGAGGTCACTTAAAATTTTGTAAAAAATGCACGCATTTTTGTTTTACCCCGTATTATGGGTATTGGCCCATAATTAAATAAACTGCAAAGAACGGTTCGACAGTCGATAAAAAAGCGTTTCAGAATCTGGCTAGCAATTCAAAACGCCTTCAATAGTTCAGAAAATACAAGAAGTTCAACTTGATGCAAAAATTTTCACTTTACGTTTCAATTGGTGCTCAGTTTACTTTTAAATAAATTTATTAAACCATGTTATTTCATGTATTTTATTAAGCCGAATCGAATAAAATCCGTCCCAATGCGATTGGATTAACGGTTTAGGAAATATAGGGTTTTTTCTTTATATTATCAGTTTCACGCCACTGTGCGCCGTTGCTTGCGAGCCGAAAGATCTTGAGAAACACTACAAACAGGAAGCGTAAGCAACGCAAGCACAATCAGAAGCAAGAGCGCGAGCGGGATCACGAACAATGTGGACGCACCTTTACAGTCACTTACATGTACGTTCTTTAGGTGCAATTGATTATAAATTTGAAAAGCTGGCAAACGGCGGTTTCTTAGCGATAAACTTACAATAAGTCGATTGTCTTGATTCGTTCAAGTTCTTATAAAAATTACGAAAAAATGTTAGTGTCTTCTTCAAAAGCGAATATCTCCAACAAAAAGAAAGCTATCGAGATGAACCAAAAAACTAACTATCAAGAAAATACGTACCTAGATGACAAAATTATTTTTAATTGTTTTGCTTCCTTAGTATATTCCACTGGGTGTTTTAAACTTTCATCAAAATATCAACATTTTGTTTTCCGTCGTATAATTCACAGACAGCAACTTTCATTCATAATTTAGAAAGAGGTACTAAAAAGTCAAATAATTTAGCTACAAATTGCTTAAAAAATCATCAAAATCAGCCGACTAGAACAAAATTTATTAAACTTTAAAATACATCAGATTTTTAGGTGCCTTTTTTTGTGCCAAAAAAATAATACTTGTGTTTTCAGATTCAAAAATGTTTTTTTCTTTTATTTTCAGGCCTTTCCGATAATTTTCATCTTCGGTTGTGATGCTACCAGAAAGGAAACCGAACGCGTCATTGCCACGTGTCGGAAAATTGGTGAAAAGTTCCAAGACAACCCGGAAATCTACAGGGAAATCCAGGCACTGGCCTGCAAAATGGCCACCTTGAAGCACGGCTTTACCGCCAGTGGTTTTTTTCCCATTAGGAGATCGTTGTTGCTGTCAATATCCGGAGCTATAGCTACTTATTTCCTAACGTTTGAACAGATATGGCGAAAGGGGGAGAAAAAAGAGAATAGTCAAACTAACTAATAAGTTTTATTAGTTATTTCTTTTCAGGATTGCGAAGTAACCAAATATGGAATACCGTTTAGTTTTTGTGTTGTATTAAAAAATGTATTGTAAATAAAAGAATATTCTTAGATATTTATCTGTCATACAGTTGCACATAACGTAATAACTGTTTTCTGTTACATGTATTAATTTAAAGTATAAAATTATCTCAAAAACAAATTGAACATAAAGGCACCTAAAGATGGAATAGGTACCCAAATATGGACCACTATAAAACGAATACTTCAAACCAGAGTTGGCATGATTTAAATCGTGATTTAAATCAAGTGATTTTTTTAATTTTAATCATGTGATTTAAATAAAAAAAAATAATTTTACTGAAACTTTATAATAAATAAAAAAATAACTGTAAAAGTTATAAAAATGTGTCCTAGAAAATTAGAAAAAATATTTCTATAACAGATAATAAATCGAAAAATAATTGTAAATGTTATAAAATTATATAAAAATATCTATTCATTTTGAAATTTATCTATTGATTTTTGAAATAATTTCGTGTGAATCAATTAAACCGCTAAATGCAGGGTTTTATTTTAAAATTTATGTATAGGTAAGTCACATAAATTCGCTGTTCAAATACATATCATTCGCAAAGTCTAGTGCCAGAACTAGATTCTTCTGATATAGAGACTATATCTTCATTCCCGAGACTCTATAATCGTTGTCAGAAAATGTGTTGTTTTATTTTTTTTTTGAAACGGTTGTATGTTTCCAAATTCCTGCCGACATTTTGATCTGCAGTAAGTACTTTATACTTTGACATTAGATAATGCATACTAATTTCATTCTCGACTTACGACTATTTCCGAACATTAGTGTATTGTTTTATTAGGAGTAAAAATTATACTTTTTTTGACGATGCTGTACCTTTGAAGGACCATCGTAAAGCTATTCCGACGTTACAGGGTGACACAAAAAGTACATTTTTTCAAGTTTATTTTAAAACATTTCAAATAATTTTTTAATCAATTTCTATTTCTTTTTTCTAAAACTTTGCAAATAATATGAACAGTAATCGAGCAACAATTTTGAATTGGACATTTAATATCAGTTTAATAAAATATTTTTGTACTTTGTGCTTAGGCGTAACAGTGCTTTACTTTCATGCCTAGGCGTTAAAATGACAAAAGTTAATATTTTTGAGATGTTTGAAAAAAAATCCTTTTGATCTGAAGCGAGCGACTTTTTTTGCGGAAAAAAAAGATGTGGAAAAATGACATGCGCCGTAGAATTGTTAATGTTATCGGTATCAGGCAGAGTTATAAAGATTTAGCCATTTAGGATAGGACTTTAATTGGAAATAAGTCCTAGTCATTTAGAAATCCGATATAAATATTGTTTTGAATGAAAATAAAAAAAAATCAGATTTTTTTGATTTTTTTCAAAAAATAATGATTTTTTCCAACCCTGCTTCAAACTAACCAAAATGTATATCAGATTTTTTTATTAAACACATTCAGACAAGAAAATACCCCCAAAACAATCAAAAAAACATGCAATCAATGCATTTTCATAATATATAATACTATTTGCAATCGCGTACCAAGACATACTTACTTTCTGAGTACTTTAAAAAAATTTCTGATAGCGGTGAAAGAAAATAACTCTCACCGTAGCCACAAAGCCCAAATGACAAGGCAAAACCTGCACGTGAGTATAATGATGAAAAGAGATTAAAAACCACTATCTTTTGCGATTAGGTGATTAGGTTAGGCAGTATGTATTCCATATTAAGGATACTATTCCATATTTGGTTACAGCTGTTATAACTAAATATATGTTTATTTTTTGTTATATTTTACTAATTTAAAAAATAAAACTTTCCCATTTTTGGACTTTTTCATTTATTTTAATTTAGTTTAAACCGGGAATAAAGAAAACTTATTTTCTTACTTTATTTTTATGGAAATTTTAAATGTGGAAATATAAAAAAAAATAATTATAAAAATTAGGCACCCAAAACATATTAGGAAAAATAATAACCTGTTGCTGATAAGAAAAAAACCTGAATAGAATAGATTGGGACTCGCCCAATTTTGCCACTTTCTTTGTCGGCATCGTCTGGATAAAGGAATTAAGACTCCCACTACTTCCAGTTGACTTCGAGAATACTACATGTAATTCAGTAGCGTGTCGTGGATAAAAGGGCGGAGGGGGCGAAGAACTTAAGGGGCGCAATGATCAATAAAGGATCAAATAAATTACAAACTTTTTTCTTTAATAATGAGACTACATGAAAACTTTTATTTTTTTTAATTATAAATTTGTTTATTAAAAAGTTATACAAAACAGTTATTTCAAAGATGAAAGCGTCTTTAAAACCGATTTAAAAGAATCAATTATTTCGTCCATATTTAGATCCTGGTCTATCTTGTGTGCTAGTGTACCTCTGGTAATTATTAATTCTTCCTAATCTACTGAAAGATCGTTCTGCACCAGCACTGTTGGTGGCTATAATGTAAAAAATCCTCAGTAATGCACATAAAGATGGATATGAAGACTCTAGGTCATTGGAAATTAAAAAGGATAAATATTCATCAGGTGCAAGTTTGTTATCATCAGCATTAATTTCTTCTAATAAACTGCAAAAAGGTTTATATTCCTCAACTTTAGTAGCGTCAGAAACACCTGAGCGTCAGATTGTAATAAATTATCAGGTAAAAAACCATGTAATAATGATGCACTAAATGAATTAAATAGAATGAGGAATATTCGGTAGGCATTTCCGTTAAATACTAAAAACTAGAAAATAAAAAATCGGTAAAAAACTTTTAAGTTAAACGGTTTTATCTTATATGCACTGAAAACTAGAAAATAATAATAACAATTAGGTATTTTGAACTTCTAGTTCAGAAATATTTTAGTACTAGGTAGAATAGCTTTTAAGCATATTAGACTAAAATAAAAACGTGTGGCCCATTAACTATTGCTGTAATACTTTCTTCTATACTAAGTGTGGATTGCATCGACTTACTATAATCGTAACTGGAGATTTTGACAATCAATAACCAGCCGTGGCGGCTTCACGAGCGAACGCCGAGCTCATGATCTACCAAAGTATAAAGATATGCTTTGCCATAGGTAGGATTTCAGAGGGGCCCCACGTTTTTATTTTAGTCTAATATGCCTAAAAGCTATTCTGCCTAGTACTAAAATATTTGTGAACTAGAAGTTCAAAATACCTAATTGTTATTATTATTTTCTAGTTTTCAGTGCACATAAGATAAAACCGCTTAACTTGAAAGTTTTTTTACCGATTTTTTTTTATCTTGAAGAGCTATAGGGTACCGTTTGTTTTTGCGTTAATTTTAGTTTTTCTGTTTTTTTTAAAGGGCGCCAGAGGCGCTAAGCGCATAGGGGCGGAGGGGGCATTCGCCCCCCCTGGCCCACTATACGACATGCCACTGATGTAACTGACTGCAGAATACAATGCCGATACTTTCAATGCTACATTAATTAAGAAAATTATAAATACGGAATAATAAACATCACACATCATCAAAAATTAACACAATAAACCATCAGTTAATTTTATTAGTTAAGTACATTCCTTTATTTAGATACAGCACTTGTATACAATGCTTGCCGACATACATTTAGAATCACTATCAGTTCTTACTAAATTCGGCAGCTTTTTAAATCTAGTCCCGCCATATGACTTCACAACGGGTGTTTTCAAAAACCTGGGGTATTTTAAGTGTAAAACAATATGTTTTGGAGTTTTGCTTCTGGAACTCACTGGAATAGTAATAAAAGAACGAACATTTTATTTTGGAAAAGACTATTATGGCCAGAAAAAGATCCTTGTATTACTGGATGGAATAACAACAGCCCTAACCCATATCTTAATAATATACGCTATGTATAACGCGTCGTTCAATAGCAAAATCTGGTTAAAATTCTTTAGAAATATTGAGATCTTTGAAAAACAAGCAAAAATCCACGTTAAATCAGACAAAAAAGTTTCAAGATTGTTTTTAATATTAATTTTGTTTATTGTTGGAGATATTTTGTTATTAACTGCAGTTTATGTACCCTGGGTGTGTCATTTCATAAAAAATCACGATCTTATTGAAGAAATGTTAACGTTGTTGTGGTTTGAGCAAGACTTTTTTCAGACATTTTTAGTGGGTTTCTTAACCCTTCTCATGACGGTGTTCTTAATGCTAATAAGAAACAAATATGCTGATTTAAATAGATTATTGGCTCGGCTAGAAAACCGATGTGGGATAGAAAATGAGAGGATTTTTAGAGACCTGAAATATGTTGATGAATTATTTTATTTACTCTCAATAATCTGTGTTAATTTTAATTCGATTTTCGGTATTCAAATGTCACTAAATATTATCTGTTCGTTCTTTTTTTCCTTATTGAACTTCTGTTACATGTTTCAAGGTACAGTTACCAAAATTACTGATTTGTTCATAATGGTTTATGCGGTAAATTGAATGTTCTTATATTCACAGAAAAAATAGGTGAAATAAAATGTTTCTTTCAGATATTTCCCACGTTTTTTGTCCTGGCTTGCGACGCTGTACAACAAGAGTCTCAAAACGTTGTGAAAACATGTAGAAAAATTGGAGAACTCTACCAAGACGACGTAATAATTCATCAAGAAGTCCAGAGCTTGGTCTACAAAATGAAATGTTTGAGCAAGAGCTTTAGTGGAAATGGATTTAACATCAAGAAATCTATATTTCTGTCAGTTCCAGGAGCTGCACTGACGTATTCTTTGACAGTGCGGCAAATGTGGCGAAAATAACAAAAATATGTTAATGTCAGTAGTCAATAATTAAATTTTAATGAAAACTAACCGTTTAATTATACAGGGTGAGTCTTAAATAAGTGCAAATATTTTCAGAGCTGGTAGATCTCGATAAAAGAAACATATTTTCTCTTTACCGTTTTGCAAATAAGTACAAAATAAGTTGGCTTGGAAATGACGATCGATGACATTTCCTCATATAATTTTACATATAAATTAAGAGCGATCTTCATTTCATAGCCATCGCTCTGACGCCGTTTTTATTCGATCATACGGTATTTATAAATACAAATTAATATGAATTAAAGTAAAATAAAGTAATCAATTGCAAGGTTAATTATAGTATTATTACAATATTCAATAACTTATTAATTTAGGTACTATTAAATTGTTAGAACTTTAGGATTTAAGAAGATGTTCAAATATTCCTCCATCGACTGCTAGACAATAACCTGTATGATCATAAAATTCTCTTCTTACATTCGCTAGTTGGTAAACTGAAATTCTATTGCATTCGGCAGAAATAGCATTTTTTTACTCGTCTAGATTTGGGTATTTTTTATCCTTGTATGTCCTGTTTTTTAAATGGCCCCAGAGAAAGAAATCATTTGGCGAAATATCAGGCCAATTTACTGTATGATTGCCAATAACGTTTCCGTTAAAACTATTGTCTAAATATTCCCGAACAGCCAGGGTACTATGTGCCGGGCAGCCATCCATTTGGTACCAAACTTCCTGATTTTTCCTAGCGGCATCTTGTAAAGCAGGTAAAATATGATTTTCGAGTAGTTCCAAACAATATTTTGCATTTAAATTTCGCGTAAGAAATAATGACCCAATAATATTGTGTCCGAATATCCCTGCCCAAACATTTACTTTCTGTGGATATTGCGTCCTTGTTTCGACAAACCTGTATTGGTTCTCTTTGTTCTAATATCGATAATTTTGAACATTGGGTT